TATATAGTGCTTTTTCTGGGACCTCAAAGCGCTTCACATAAGGGGGAATCTCCTCAACCACCACCAATGTGCAGCATCCACCTGGATGATGCGACGGCAGCCATATTGCGCCAGAACGCCCTCCACACACCAGCTTACTGGTGGAGAGGAGACAGAGTGATGAAGCCAATCAGTATATGTGGATGATTAGGAGGCCATGATGGACAGAGGCCAAGGGGCAAATTTGGCCAGGATGCTGGGATTTTTAATGACCACGGAGAGTCAAGACCTCGGTTTAACGTCTCATCCGAAGGACAGTGCTCTTTGACAGTATAGTGTCCCCGTCACTACACTGGGGCATTAGGACCCACACAGACCACAGGGTGAGCGCCCCCTGCTGGCCTCACTAACACCTCTTCTAGCAGCAACCTGGTTTTCTCAGGAGGTCTCCCAGCCAGGTACTAACCAGGCTCAACCCTGCTTAGCTTCAGTGGGAAACCAGTCTTGGGCTACAGGGTGATATGGCTGCTGGCACCTGGCTGCAGGTGGATGTAATGTGTGGACACATTATGTCCAGAGAGGAGGAGCTAGACATCAAGCTTCACCCATTGGCTCTGCAGTGAGCAGCATCTCTCTGAACAAGCTAATCAAGCCTTGCGTCTCAATGTCCATATATTACGCCCCGACTCTAGGGGAATATAAACCACTAAAGAGGCGTAATAAATAATTATTGGGTTGTGGTATGGAATCCCAGCAACGAATCACTACGGTCGATAATCAAAAAAACTCATGCACAAAATTAAAGCAAAAGTAAGAAATTTATTAAAGAATAACAAGTGAAATAAAGAGCAAATCTTCAGGGTGTCCAAAAGGCCAAAATAACAAACAAAACGAATATACATACATACATTTATCTTACCTAACTCCCTGCCCAAAAACAGAGATCAAACAATTACAAAATAAACAAGGCAGGACACCCCTACGCTCCACACTGTTAAGATGGTTTAGACATTAGGAGAACGGTTCAGAGATTATCACAAGATGCACGTTCACTTGAACTAATTAAAGTTTCTAATACACAATTTGATCACCGGCCGGAGGAGGGATTCCGGAGCTCTCAACTCACGTGCGACCGAACCAAGAATGAGCTCACAGACGAGTGCCAGCAGCGTCCTTATAAAGACCACGCCCTGACTGGACAACCAATGGCGTTCGTTCACCCCAATCATTGGGCAACCTATTAGAAATCAGAAAAAAACAGAGAGAAAAGGAACAGAGCAATAAAGAAAATAATTAGCTACACAGACACAGGTCGTAACACCATACTATCCATCCTAAACAGTATGTGAGATTAAAATAAGTGTGTCCCAAAGCATAGTATGTTAAAAAGAGTATGCCAGAAGAAGTCCCCGGATGGTCTACTATTTCCGGTGGATTTTGGAAGTGTGGATCCGTAGCATAGACAGTAAAAGAAATGGGCACAGCGACCCCATAAACTCCAACAGAGAAAAGAAGTCAATTAGAAGCACTCACTTCCTGATGGCTGAACGTACTGAGCAGGCTCAAACTGAGCTTGAAGACGTAGATGTGACGTGAACAACCTGTCTGACAGTTGTTAGTCTTCTCCTTCTGTCTGTACGGTAACTTCTGTACTGTGCGACAGAGAGTCCTGTGGTTATGACGCAATCGTTAGCCTATTTTTACAAAAACGGCTTCTACGGGGCCATAATGTAAGATACAAAGTAATGGAGCCTTTTATACATTGTCGTGTTTCTTTAGAAATAAACAATGGACAAATGGAGTCTTTGGACGCCTCAGATGTAAAGTTATTCGCTGTCAAAATGACGCCAAAATGAATGGGAGTCAATGGAATGCTAACAGCAGGTGATGGTCTGCTACAATGGCGGCCCCCAAGGGAAGCTTCAGTTTCCGGCTGATGGATTACCCCCTTGATCCGTACTCACTATAACAGCTAATATTGCCCACAACCCATTGCCTTTTGGAAGAGGAACTACAAACCGAGTAAACATGGCAGATATGCGGGACCGACGGTGAGAGGTTTAGAAAAAGGTTTAAGTGACTAATCAAAGTTTAAGCTGATAAAAAATATATTTAATTAATGTTATCCGTGTTATATTTAATCTGCAATAACAATGTGGACTTTTATAAAGATCCGTTTGGCCATTAACTTTTAAATGCTTCATTATGCATTAATATCATTCTCGGCAAAGACCCTGGACTGCAGATCAACATGCTTCTGGATTTCTCTCCCAATACGGTAGGAAATTAGATTAAATGTGGAGGATTTTAACTGTGACAAGATGATTGACAGGCCAGTTTACAGCGACAGAGAGAAACCGTTTATAGACGCAATTGTATGACGTGTTAGTAGGCTATGTCCCAAAGCTTGTCTACTTTTTGCTACACACTCAAAAGTATCTACTTTTTCTTCACAAAAAGAGTACATACTTTTAGGGCGTAGTATAAGTAGGCGAATTGAGACGCAGCTTAGGTCTTCAGGATTACTAGAAAGCTACAGGCAGATGAATCTGATCAGGATCAACTCTGCAGGAAAGTGGATTTTAAGTTGCCCAGCCCTGCTTTAGGGGCTCCGGTAGGCCTGTGAAAGGCAAGATAAAAACAAATTTCCCTTGATTAATAAAGAGATGTGATTTAAGATGTGCCCATCAGCCATCAGACACCAAGAGCACCACTGAAATCTATCAGATAGGTTGTTTAGGCTGTAATCAAACATGTCCTCTTGTTTAACCTTAGTCTGACCCTCGAGCGCCGCCACCTCTTTACTCAGGCACCCGGAGAATCTGTGCAAAGTACGTCACAATCAGCTAAACCTGTCACTCTGTGTCAGATCTCTCCATGACCACCTCATTTCTGTCGGTTCATTCACACACAGGTTAAGACTGCTTCCAGCAGTGCAACATTTATCTCCTATTAAAAATGTATATAACTTAAGTGACCTTAGTGTGGAAGGTGAGAGGGACAGGATATTACTGAACATATTTGATATTAATATACATGGATCAATTTTAATGCGAGACGAGACGTAGCTGTCATTATGATCCGACAGATTTTGAACTTTGTTTTTCTCAGAGTCTGTCCTCTCCGATTTGTTTGTATATGGTTAGGAAGCAATCAGGTCTGGGATACTGGAAGTATGTGGGACAGATAAAACACTTCAGTAGCTGTGTTCTCATTTGGCGAGACACCGATGTTGGATTTTCCGTTCTGGGATCTTACTGAAACCACTAGAGAGGTGTGTGTGTGTGTGTGTGTGTGTGTGTGTGTGTGTGTGTGTGTGTGTGTGTGTGTGTGTGTGTGTGTGTGAGAGTGTGTGTGTGAGTGTGTGTGTGTGGAGAGAGAGAGAGAGAGAGAGAGAGAGAGAGAGAGAGAGAGAGAGAGAGAGAGAGAGAGAGAGAGAGAGAGAGAGAGAGAGAGAGAGAGAGAGAGAGAGAGAGAGAGAGAGAGAGAGAGAGAGAGAGAGAGAGAGAGAGAGAGATCACACAATTTGACTTAGGGTCAGTTTACACAACATCGTTTTCAACTTAAAAACTGAAACGTTTTTATGCCTGCCCGCTCATTTACACTACAACAGCGTTGTGGGGCCTGAAAACGTCAACTTTGGAAAGCGGGTTTCAACGTGCAAGTTTTTCAAAACGGTACTGTTATCGTCTCCATGTACAAAAAAGCAAATTTGCGCAAATGGCGACGCCATGCACATGCGCATTACATGTTCAGTCTGTATCCCCGCCCACGGATAGTCAGATCGACAGAAGGTTATTAACAGAACAATAATAGGCCAATTTCACACTTCTGAGTTTTTCGCTTCCGGATTGGCCTATATGTTGGATAAACTATTTTGCCGATAACAGTGATGGCTGAGCCTAACAATAACCAGTTCGGGAATCAAAGTCTTTGTAAGTATTAAATATCATGAAAATGTTTAGACTGTCTTGGTGATTTATTGGTGAGACTATACAAAACTCTATGGAGTTGATTAGGAGTTGAATAAGGCATAATATCATTCTCCGCTGATTCATAATGAGAAGCAGGACCGTTCGCAGCCTGGATGATTATGTTTCTGAATTTAACTATCATAAACGCCAACACTTATAGGCTATAAGTTGCCCTGGACAGACAAAGCTCACACTTTGGTTTTGTTTGAAACTATTTTGGTGGTCAGAAAATAGAAACTAGCCATATCTTGTCTGAAAAGCAAATCTCTATCTATATGTCTATCTATCTATCTATCTATCTATCTATCTATCTATCTATCTATCTATCTATCTATCTATCTATCTATCTATCTATCTATCTATCTATCTATCTATCTATCTATCTATCTATCTATCTATCTATCTCTCTGTCTCTCCTTCTGTCTCTGTCTTCAAATTTATGCATGAGTGAAGATAAATTGTAAAGGTTGATTTTTTTAAACGAGTGTTGCGTTTTTAAGATGCTTTTTCACACCTTGAGGCTCTGTTTTTAAATCCATTGTGCGCCTTCTAGCTGCTTTTTTTAGCTTCAACTAAAAATGTTGTATCTTTATTTTTTGTAAATAAAGTGATATTTAAGTCAAAGTCTCTCTCTCTCTCTCTCTCTCAGTGGAGAGGAAAAAAAAGGAAAACGTGTAATTATTAATTTGTTTTTATGTGTATTTATTGTATTGGCAAGTCGATTGTAATAATAAAGGTGAACTTAATCCTTTCTCTCTCTCTCTCTCTCTCTCTCTCTCTCTCTCTCTCTCTCTCTCTATATATATATATATATATATATATATATATATATATATATATATAGGCTATATATGGAAGATATAAATTCACCAAAAAAAAATCAGTTATCAAGAAAAAAACACACAAACTTTATCACAAACATTTATGATCGTCTGCTAAATGCTAATACGACAGTAAGTAGCCTACTGCTATTGTGTTTAGTGGAAATGTTGTGCTCGTTGGTGGACTGCATCCCACTAGGACACACATAGATAAACGCACGCTCTCTGAGAGAGGGAGAAAGAGAGAGAGGAGCAGGAGCGCGCATCTGCCTTCTGTCAAAAGTGACAGCTGTGTCCACTGCCTCCCCTGTAAAGGCAACCTACCATTATTCCACAACGAGCTTCATCAGACTGGCTGCTTCTGAGGTCTCGTGCCTCAGGTCTGCTGTCTCGCGTTGTTCTTATATTTTTGTTTCAGAATATGTTTCAGTGAGCACATCCATGCGTTAGCACAGCACGCAGCGACATTTCATCTGACGGCGCGAGAGTTTCGAGTCCCAAAACTCGAAGCAAGACATTTGCTTTCATACAAACCGTTTTCTTTTATTTTGCATTTAGACTCGGCGATTTTTCACTTTCGCGAGGAACCCTTTAGCATTCACGTGTCCTTTTTGTTTATTGCTGGGGCTAAACACTTGTTTCTTGTACAATGTGTACAAGTTCTAGATTATCGTATTTTGTCTTGCTCGGTCGTCCTTGAAAGAGAGAGAGAACCAGAATAAGAGGGCTCTTGAATCTGTCCACGCGTGAAAATGCCTGTGCGCCGGGGACACGTCGCTCTTCAGAACACTTATCTGGACACCATCATCCGGAAATTTGACGGGCAAAGTAAGTTTAAAAACTTTTTATTTTCTTTCTTTGGGTAAGAAGATATTTTATAGCTCAGACGTGTGTTGTTGTAGTAGTCATCATAGCAATGTTATTTTTTTTGTTTAGCAATTGGGGTCGTACTCGCGAGAAACTGTCAGTCAGAGAGCGAGCGGCCATTGGAAGTGTGTAGGTCAGTCATTGGTATCAGTTTAAGATTTGATTTGCATGGCAGTTGATCATCAGGTGAGAGAGCAATTCAACAAAGCCAGCTTATTTTATCTACATTATGTAAATGCAGTGGAAAAACTAATCTAATGACTAACATGGAAAATTGCTAACAACCATCTGTCTCTTTATTTTTCCATTCTTCTCTGTATGTGCGCGCGTGTGTTTATTAATGTTGTGCACCTGCTTTATTCATTCAATCATGTTTCCTGATTTTGGACAAATGTGTCATTACACATAGCCTACTACGAAATGAAATTTGCATAATATCAGTTTTCATATCCCGTTAACAAATTCCAATGTGTAGGCTATTTCACCACATTTGTCCTATGCATGTTTGATCCTTTCACTCTCTGTTTCAAAGTCTAAAGGAGGAAGCATTTTTAACAGAAGGTTTACAAGTTTTAGTTTTATCTTTATGAAGAAGAGCCCTTTGAAATTTGAGATCCAAATCCTAACCTTAATCTCTATCCATGCCCTAATTACCCTAAATCTAGTCTTACCCATGATAATCCCATGGCCTAGCCGTAGGCCTATGCCTGCTCTTTAAGGCCCTTAATGAGGGTTCTTCCCCAGAAGTCAAAGTTTTTCTATTTTTATATAGGCCTACAGGTGAAAGTAAAGAGTTTCATAAACTCTACAAAAATTTTTTTTTTTACAAATGTATTTTATGTCACAAATACAACTCTGCCTGCTTGGCATTCATTTGTGAATAGTTTCCTGTGCATTTGTAGATCCCCAAATGCATTTTGTGGATTTTGAGACATTTCTAGTCAAGACCTGGGGCATGTTCAAGTTCAAAACGGTGCGCAACGTTTTGGTTTCCGGGTTGAACGTCATGTTTCCTGGAAACGGTGTGCAACAGGGTTTGAGATACGTTTTCTCTTGTTTGGTGGGTGTGTCGGAACTGCAGTCCAATCAGCAGCAACATGTATATAAAGCAAGCGGTATTAAAGTGAACTTGCACAATGTGTTCAAGGAGAGTAATTTACAAATGTGTTCGATGCAGCTGCAGCTCGGTATACGCAACAACTGAGGATATTAGAAGACATGTTTGTCGTAAGTTTTATTGTAAAAATATAGGATATCAACATAATGATGTAGTTGTTTATTTTTAGCTTCATTGCAAGTGTATGACATTTGGTATATAGAAATAAACAATGGTAATTACGTGCTTTTCCTAAAAATTAGAAAGAAAATACAGGGTATTAAAACAGTATGAACTACAAATAAAGTCAGAGGCTAAATAGATGTGTTTTAATCTGAATTAGGTAAAATATGTGCTTCCATTGCAGTTTCCACAAATCCCTTCACTCGAGATTGGGATGTTCTCTTGTGCTCTGGGCGGCAAGTGCAGTTATAACATCGGGCATATTTTGTAGTATTAACCACATATTTATACCGACTTCATCAGGCTCCGAAAATTCTTCACAAAGAACACAAAGAATGGCCTTCTCAGCTGCCATAGATGCAACTCTTGCGTCATCAGATCAGTGTGTTCAACGCATCACCGTTTCTGTTTAAAGGGACACTATGCAGCTTTTTTAGCTTAACTGAACAGCTTCAGAGTTATTGAAATGGTTATATAACTTCTTTCGGGTTGAATGGTGGGCGTCTCGACCCCCCCTGGTGCCTGTGAGCGAAAAAATCTCACTTGCAACTTCGGTGCGGCGGGCCGCGTCAGGAAGTATCGCGTGATATCAGCTCTCGCGATGTAACATATTCCTTTACGGCAACTGCACACATACACACAGGAACAAGGTATAGATGGATGGAGTTTGTCACACTATCGTCATGGCTGAGCCGGCATATAAGATGCAGAAAGCTAGGAAAGCATTGTCGGAGGAACAGAGAAAGAGGAAACGGCAGACTGACCGAGCGAGGAGTCGGACACGAGCATAGGCATAATTTGCGGGTGTGTTATGTCCCCATTGAAACTTCTCGCGGCACGGATGTAACGTTACCATTACAAACAAATAAAACATCTCCAGGTAACTCTAGTAGAGCATTCATTTCGTTCGTTTGTTAAATAAGAGGCGATCTGAAATGTGTTATTTTAGAAATCAAGTGACCAAAGTGCTCGTTGCCTCTGCGATCAGTGGTGCAGATAAGTGTTCTGTTGTGACGCGCGCCTGAATCCGTTGCGGGGACTGAGAGACTCTCTATATTTTGTTATTGTGAAATCACAAAACCTAATGCACAAAAAACATGTCCCTGCTTGAAATACAACCACTAATAAACAATCGGTTTTGATGAGGAAAATAAACTATACTACTAGCTAGTACCGATTAGAACCCAGAACCTCTAACACACTTGGCAAAAGTTCTGCCTCTGGACCATTAAAATTGTCGGATCTATGTATTTAATCACGTGAAAATTCTCACCACTAACAACATATATTATATCTCATTAAACGACAAATTAAACACAATGTACTATTGTATACTATGTAACAGGCATGTCACGCTCTGAGTGAGTGGTATTTACGACAGTAACGTTAAATTCAAGTACTCTACAGTAACTCTAGGGGTCGCTGTTTGACAAAAACGGGATTTCTGCATAATGCCCCTTTAAAAAACGTTGTGCAACGTTTTGTCGGGGCTGAACGTAGCCCTGGATACAAATCCAGGATAGTTAACTCCACCCACCGCCTACATAAGCCAATCAGAATCCATTGAGCTGAGTCACACTCCAACCAATCCTGATTTGTTTACAAATCAGGGCGGTCTTGGCCTGAAATATTTTTGTTCATTCATTCATCATTCATTGGCTCAAATCAGAAGTACAACGCCCATAAAATTGGTACAGTAAAAATGTTTAAAATTTGGATTTCATTAGACCATTAGACTGTGTATCAGGCCAAGGCATAGTATTATATTTTATATGCCTTTGAAAATGCCAGAGGAACAGCGCTTTACATCTCTGTTATGGGAACAACGCATAATGGAAGCGTCACGTTATTTAAGATAGAACAGAAAAGCATCAATAAGTAGCTGACTAATGAATGACTGGATTCAACCTCATGATGGATTTGATGATCTATAGAGCATTAAAAATTGTATTTTAAAAGTTAAAAGCATGTATTATGATTCCCTTTGTCTGTAGAGAAGATATAGGTGGGTTCTTTTTAAACGTGTGACAGGTTGTTGCATTCCAAAGAGATCATATCATGCATTTAAAAGTGACATTCCCAGCAGACAAGCGATATGCATTATATATCGGTTAAAACACTTAACCACACAAATAATATTTCATATGAATCAGACTTAATAGTTTTGATTGTAAAAGTTACTTGCAGCATCCAAAATAAAAGCTAAGATGTATCAGAATTGCAAGATTTTATTTGCATTAATATACACTCACAAAACCCCAGTACAGCTGCAGGGATGCTGAGGCTCGTACTTTTAAATCACTGATGGTCATTTGGGCTCATATTTGGTACATATGTCATATATATGCCACCACGATTGAGCTTTAAAAGGCATAATTAGCCGCCCAGACAGCAACCTAGTGTCAACCCAGATCCGGCCCACATCTGGGCCTTGTGGAATCCACGTGTACCAGATGTGGGCCGGATCTGGGCCGACACTATGTTGCTGCCTTGGCGTTGTGCCATGTCTTACATCATCTACCCCTGTCTACACTGGACACGTCAAAGTATGTAAAATAAGTCTCTGTTGTCCTCAGATTGTGTAAGTGAAGTTTTAGCTCAAAATACCTCACAGGGGCGGGGGTCCTTAAAAAACGATTTCTTTAAAAGCAAATATCTTCTTTTGCTTTGAACTTTGAGCGTTGTAACTTTGCAGATGTTGTTTATGCTCAAACAGCAACATCACACACTCACTAAAGTTAGAAAAGTGAAATCATAATCAACCACCCCTTTAAATAATATAATGGGTACTATTTGCTTTTGACGCGCTGACTCGACATCCGTTGTAGAGAGGATGGATGGTCCTGATGGAAATAAAAAGAAGCCTTAAACTCTAATAAGTTTTTGGAAGCAAGGTGTTTTAACCACACAAACAACACTTCATCTCAGTTTGAACGAAGCGCCCTTAGAATACAGTTCCTTTCAGGGGTGCAAAATGAAACTGTTCCTGCCCCGAGTGTAAAGCCAAACGTGATTGGTTGTAGTGAAAACATGCTACGATTGGTCAGCGCAATTTGGCTGTTATCTGATTGGTTTAAGTAGACGGTGGGTGGAGTCCACTTATTTGTGGATTTGTATTCACATCTTGACTCTAGAAGTGTTCTAGAAGGGATCTACAAATACACAGAAAGCATTTCACAAATACGTGCAGCCATCCACAAACGCACAGGAAATGATTCACAAATGCACAGGAAATGATTCACAGATGCACAGGAAATGATTCACAAATGAATGCCAGGCAGAGTTGTGTTTGTGACATAAAACACATAAAACACATTTGTAAATATTTTCCTCACTTTATTAATTTGTGAATTTTATACATTTTTGTGAAACTCTTTACATTTATTATTTATTTGGAATAATGCAACAATTATATCCCCATTCAGTAAGCAAATGTGTGTATTGCTAATACTTCATCTTTTAAGTATACAAGCATGTATATGTGTGCCTGCGCATGTAGATATTGTGAATGTGAGTAAGCCTGCAGCTCCTCTTTTCACTCACTATCAGTAAAGACTAAGTGTCATTTTGCGGCTGCTAGGCAACCATCTCAGTGCGTTGTGTTCTATTCCTGAAGTAAAAAGGCGATAATGAGTTTGATGCTGAGGGGCATTAAAGTTCCTGTCACCAAACACAATTAACATTCAGAGATGGAGAAACAACATTGAGTTTAAGCAGAGATAGAAGCAGGCAGTGTGTGTCCTTAGAGGCACAGGTAAAATCCCCTTGAATATATATATATAGAGAATTTTAATTTGCTAAAAGGAGCTAGGAATTATTTCCATTCAATCTTAACCGTCTTTAGATGAACTGTGTTGCTCTCCACCTGTTGAAGCTGATATGTGATTCAGCTCTTGCTGCAAAAATAGCACCTGTCAGCATATTTCCTGTTATCAAAGCAGCCATCGGAAATACAGAAAATGTTCTGTAGTATTATACAGGCTGAGGAAGGAGAAAGAGAAAAGAGAGACATAAAACAGACAAGACAATAATCACATCAAAAGCATCCCTACAATCAAAGTGTGGATATGTATTAGATTTTTTTTGATAATCTGAAACATTTTTTTTATGGATTTAAAAATTCAAAGTTAAAAATACATTATTTTTAGGTCACTAATAGTTGTAAAAATTAGAAGCATTTTCACTAATTATCTCAATTATCTCAAATTGAATCCAACTATTTGTATCCTGTATTGAGGAGGAGAAGAGCTAGTTAATACACTGAGAAGAAAACGTAACTCTCAGTAAGAAAGTCCGGTTACATAAAAGTTATCAGTTCTCATTTCTCTTGCAGTTGTTTTGTATGTTGCTTTCAAACATGTAGTTTAAATACATTGTTCACAACCCTCTTGATATAGATAAAATGTTTGTTTCTTAATGATGAGAAAATGTGAATTCATGATTTTTTCATGTCAGGTTGAGACAAGTTGTTTTAAATGTAAATCAATAGTAATAATAGTAATACTTTAGAATAATAAGAACAAGAAGTTGTCCATTGTGACTACTTACCCCATTGGCCTATAATGTGACAACATGTCCCACAAAAGTTCAGTGTGTGTTAAATGCACTTTTAGATGTCTTTTTGTCCCTGATAACAGTGGAAAGTTCATGTCAATTATTTTTTTCTTTCTTAACACTTATCTGACCAGATCGTAAGTTCCTGATTGCTAACGCCCAGGTGAAGAACTGTGGGATTATCTACTGCAATGAGGGCTTCTGTCAGATGTTTGGTTTCTCGCGGGCAGAGATCATGCAACAGTCCTGCACGTGTCAGTTCCTGGTGGGGCCGGGCACTATAAAGAGCGCCCTGGGACAGCTGGCACAGGCCCTGCTCGGGTCAGAAGAGCGCAAGGTGGAGATCCTGTTCTACTCTAAGGAAGGTATGCTGGGCTTAGCAAGGATTTCACTCACAATTTCCTTACATACCAAAATATGGCTTGTGTGAGAAAGTATTTTTGCATTGTGCTGATGTTGATGCACATCATTACTATCGCAACTAATGCAGATACACCAGATACTAGGCCCTCTGTCACTAGGCCCTCTTTTTAAATATTGTAATTAACTCCGTAATCTGTACACAAATTCATGCTCGCCTCAGTCCCCTTTAAAACACAAAGGAAAACAGCGGCAGGCTTCGGCTCCTCCCCGTCTTTTAGTCAGTGTTATTCAGCATGTTCTTCAATCGGCAGCAGGTGCAGCACCAATGTCAGAAGCAGATAGATTGTCATGACATCTGCATCTGTGCGTTCTTTGCCATAAATGCATTTTACATAAAGTGTAATTCACGTGCTGTTATTTTTTTTATAAATAGAAAACAAACAAACAAAAAAAGGATTTTAATAGTTAAACATATTGCCAATCTAGACAATTACTGCAGTTCTGTCGGCGACCACTTTAAATGCTTGAGCTCTTAAAGCAGGATAGATTCTGATTGGCTGTCAGTATTTTTATCATTCATCAGCTGGAAAAGAAATTTTTTCTGAAAGTGATTCCTGCGATAATCAAGCATAGGACCAGTTCTGGCAGGTCAAGTCAGTTAAGCTCGCATCAGCTTACTCTCAGCTGATCCATGTCTACTTATAAGAATATGACTTCTATCACAGCTCCTACTCTCACACAGTCAGGACTTAGCCTTCGGATACAGCATTCCTCTTCGAATCAGACTGTCATTTATCTTGATTACGTTGTTACAATAATTTATTGTTATTAATAGTGTTAATGATATCTTTAATACGGTTATGTTGGTTCTGCTTGTTCTGTTTGCCCTATAAGGGGATTATGGCTGTGCTCCCTGCCCTTATCCATGCTAGGGCGGGGAGTTCTTGCCCAGGACGGAACCATACAGCCAATCCAAACTGTGTGCTAATTGTCAATCATCTTTGACAGTAGTGGTCCTGACAGAATTTTTTCTCTGTGCCATTATCGTTATAGTTGTGGTGTGAATTCCTCTATTCTTCTATATTTAGAGTAATTTTTAGAACTATATATTTACTGTTATTGTTATAGTTATCGTCCTTTGGTGGACTTGCTTAATACAGAGACCAGCTGAGGGCCTGTTTGTCTAACAGAGCCACCAATCCCACAGACTCTGTGTTTATGTCTTTAGTCTCCTCAGACAGGAACAAATGAATGGAGTCATTGGCTCTCTGAATGTCGTTAAGCCAGTGTTTGTGCATGTGTGCATTCATTGTACCTCAGCTAGAAAGTAGACAGGTGTTCCTTCCGCCGGGAAGCAGGGCACTGATAACATTACCATGACAACAGGACTCCAGAGACTCACACCCTATCACAAAACTAATGCACTGAGCTCAGATGCACGCATAGGCTGACATGCACATGCTCACACATGCCGCCGCCCCTCTGTTCTTTTTATCCATCACATATTTTAGTGGATACAGCATCTCGATCTGTGTCACAGTTGAGCTGGAGACTGAACAGCACCTTTGTGTGTGTGTGTGTGTGTGTGTGTGTGTGAGGGCAGGGTCTATATTTAGAGTGGTTGATGGCCTGCTTTAGTCAAGAGCTGAGGGGGGTCTGGCTGACTTTAATCATGCTGTTCTTTCTCTGGTTTTTCTGTCCTCCTTGCCATCACTCCCTTCTCATTCCTGTGACTCTCTCTGTGCTCTGTGTTCTCATACCATTTTTCACTCTCTTTATTACTTTGCTGTGTCTGGGTTAAAAGGACAACTCATGATGCTTTGATTTCTCTGAAAGGCTCTATGAAAGCATCATAGCCAAAATATAAGTGACCTCTAAATGTTCTCAGTGCATCTGTGTGTTTGTCTGAGAGTTCTGGAGACCAGGGAGTTTCACCAATTAGAAATGATCCCCAGGGGTGAAATCACTTATACATGAACCGGATGTGGATGTTAAAGGACAGAATGGTGTCATCTGAATTAGCAGATTGTCTTTCATTTGAGATAAAACATCCACACAAGTTTTTCATCTACATTACTGTTTAAAAGTTAGGGGACAGTAATATATAAGTCTCTGATGCCCACCAAGGCTGTATTTATTTGACTGTAAAATAACTGTTTTCTATTTTAAGTCGTCACCTTTATTTATATAGAACTTTATACAAAACAGATTGTTTCAAAGCAGATTTACAGTGATAAACAGGAAAATAATGATTCAATGATGTAAACAGACTTCAATTCTGCCGTAAAGCAGCTCTAAAAAGGCAATAGTAAATGGTCATTATTATTCAGTTGAAATCAGTTCGGTGTTGATTCAGTTTTGTTCAATAACTGTGTAAAGTTGATCAATTATGAAACAAGTTCAATTCAGCTATAAAGCAACTCTGGAGAAAACATTGATGTCATCATCCAGCTCAGTGTCAGTGCAGTCACATCAATAATATTGCTGAATATTAAGTGTCCCCAACTAAGCAAGCCAGAGACGACAGTGGCAAGGAACCCGAACTCTGAGAAACAGAGAAAAAACCTTGGGAGAAACCAGGCTCAATCGAGAGACCAGTTATCCACTTGCCAAATGAACAAGCATGGTGTGATTATGATTCCAGGCTGCATCACAAGTCATGTTGTGAATTGATATCAGTCAGGATATTTCATCCGGCTCCTCCTATTTGAAGATGCTGGCATTCAGACAGAGGACTTGTCTGGTTCTTGTAGTCTTTGCTGAGGATCTGTGCTGATGGTCTTCATAGGCGGTCTTTCTCTTATTCTTGGTGTTGTGGTTTCTGAAGACATTCAGGTCATCTCTATGTGCAGGTCTACCATCTGAAAACAGACCAGATCCGGCTGACTAATGTAACTTCGGGATAAGGATAAAACAGGAAGAATAACATAAGCGTAGATGCCATTCTGGCAAGTACATCAGATGTTATGAGAAGTGTCCCTGGTCTCCTAATAATACTTTATAGCATTTGAATTATAGAAGTGTGATAGTGCGTTATGTGAATGCTAGGTTTAATCTAGATTTAAACTGACAGAGTGGGTCTGCCTCCCGAACAAGGCTAGGAAGTTATATACGGTTTTGATATTTGTAACAAATTAGCTCAAAGAGGAAAAATGTATAATTAATCATAACATATAATTAATTATGAATATTTGAATGTAAATCTGATTAGCTAGATGTAGCTAAATTCATATTACAATCAATTAATCAGTTCGTCCAGCGAACAATTTTGATTATTCATTAATTCTAAGAAATTAATATTTCACGGCCACATAAAAATAATTCTTTCTTAGAGCATGTAACAAGACCAGAAATCGTTAAATTGACTTTGCGGCAAGCAGTGAATCAGAACCAAATATGTATTGTGCACAAGTTTTATTAACTAAACTGTGGCAAGACAGCAGACCGAAGTGAGAGTGATAATCCAAACGCAATTTAATGACAAATATAATCCAAGGTCATATACCATACCAGGCAGAGGGTCAAGCACATGTAATCAGTCCGAACACAAATACAATCCACAAAGTGCAGACAGGAACAAGGACTCCAAGACTCAGGCAGGGATAAACTTGAAATGCTGACGGAGAATGTTAACCAAAAACAAACAAACAAGACTTCATACTGGATTAAGGCAAAAGGCATTTAAATAGACAGGGTAATGATATGATTAACAAGACACAGCTGAAACCAGTAAACTAATAATGAGCAGTGGGTTCTGGGAAATGGTGTCCGGGATTAACGGAGTCTATGGTTAAAACATACATGGATAAAATGGTAAGTGACCATCATGGTCGAGGAAGTTGCAGATGGCTTGATGTGTTGGGCCTGCTGGGCCGGCGACCGCATGGTTGCACCACACACACACAGCGACCAACAGAAATAGGAAGAGGGGGAGGAACTTCTATAAAGCCTGGGAAAAGTCACACCTCTCAGGGTTGGCTTGACCAATGAGAAAGGTGGATTTTACAGCATTTATGACCCTTATGGAGCATGGTTAGAACGGGTCTGGCAGTTTGTGCCCATTTTTACTCTGATTAATATAACAAACACTGCATTCTATGAGGAGGTGATGTCCACTAAAGTGTGAGTCGTTAAATGAGCATTAATTGGATAGAAGACACGATATAGGTGTTATGAGGGGGAAGGTGAACCCAGGCACAGACAGCAGATGCAATGAACACAGTATTTATTGATACAAAAACAGGAAAAACAAAGCCCACGAGGGGGCAAAACAAGACTGGACTATGTAGACTAACAAGACTGAGACAGATAACTATAGGGACACAAATAACCTTTACAGGCAATAGCGCAACAGGACTAAAACTCTTGACAAGATACTCACAGACTCTGACAAAGGTTTGACAAGGATTAACACTCAGGTAACAATCACAATGAACCGACAAAAGACAGCAGATACAAGAGGATTAAATAGGGAACACTAATGACGAGGACAGGTGAAACTGACTAGACAATAATCACAAGACGAGGATAACAAGGGGGCGGGGTAACGAGACGAGACAACACAAGCACATGGTCCAAATAACAGACCATGCGCTTGTACATAAAACATGGGTCTGCCATGATCCTGCCACAAGACCAGTGAAATCAAAGACAAGATGGCAGAATCATGACAGAACCCCCACCTTAAGGAGCGGCTTCCAGACGCTCCTCAAGGGGAAACTAAACACAAGACAGACTGTGACATAGATAAACACCAACAAAACATGGAAAACACTAACAATGGCAAACAGGAATAAACAATAACGGGGTTCGGGTGAAAGATCAAAAACAACATACAAGGCAAAGGAGGTGGAGGAAACACAGAGTTCATGGGGGGAGGTCCAGGGTGGAAGGGAGGACTGGGGGTCTTGGGTCCACGGGAGGAGGGCTGAGGACGAGAACTCCGGGCAGGCTTGGACGGGGACACATGAGTAGAGGTCTTGGGAGAAACAGTCCGGGGTTTAATGGTGACAGGGGAAACAGTCCGGGGACAAGTGGAGACAGGAACGAACGGTGAAACAGTCCGGGGACTAGTGGAGACAGGGACAAACGGGGAAACAGTCCGGGGGCTGGTGGAGACAGGGACGAACGGGGAAACAGACCGGGAATTAGCAGCAGCAGATTCAGACGAGGACACAGGGGATGCGGAACCGGGACTCCTGACGTGAGACATAGCAGGCAAAGGGGCAGGACAGGGTGCAGCAATAACAGCGGCAGGCTCGGGTGCAGCGCTCACAGGGACAGGATCAGGTGCAGCGCTCACAGAGACAGGCTTGGGAGCTGAGGACAAGGCAGGACAGACAGGGGGTTCAAGAATAGCGACGAGACGGGTAATTGGAAAGGGTCTTGGCCGCAATGACGGGCATCTCCTGATGAGCTGAAACTGCTCGCAGAACCTCCTTAGCGGCTAGATCGGCCGCAACTCTCTCAGCGGGCTCTGGGACGGCGCTTGCTGAGGCGGGCTCTGGGACGGCGCTTGCTGAAGCGGCCTCTAGGGCGGCGCTTGCTGGAGCGGGCTCATGGACGGCGCTTGCTGGAGCGGGCTCATGGACGGCGCTTGCTGGAGCGGGCTCATGGACGGCGCTTGCTGGAGCGGGCTCATGGACGGCGCTTGCTGGAGCGGGCTCATGGACGGCGCTTGCTGGAGCGGGCTCATGGACGGCGCTTGCTGGAGCGGGCTCATGGGAAGACAGAGACGGAGGACAAGAGGGTCCCTTCCTCCTCCTCTTCCTTCTGGGACGCGGAGCTGATGTCACAGCTGGACTGGTGATCGGCAGAAGAAGCGCAGCAGGGTCCATGACTGGAAGTGAGAGGGCTGTCTCAGGCAGGGAAGACTCCGTCGCTGAAGACTCCGAAGCAGACTCCCAGGAAATCCGTCTCCCTCGTTTTCCACGGAGACTTGCGGGTGTGGATGAAACCTCGGGAGAAGAAACGGAGAGAGCCTGATCCCCTTGAGAGATGACGGCCAAAACACGACCCACCGGGATCTCTGGCAAACAGGCAGAGGGTGGAGAACTCGAGGAAGAAGCTTGTGGCTCCTCCCGGGAGAAATGATCCCAAAGTTTGGCATAATCTCTCAGGATCCGCTCACCCTGGGGCAGGACTGGAAGGTTGACCCCCTTTCTGTCGGTGGGAGCCGACAACCAGCATTGTTCACGGAACTCCAACTGTCGCTGGAGTTGAGAGGACATACTGCTTGCTGGGTTCTTCTTTGGTCGATTCATTCTGTTATGAGGGGGAAGGTGAACCCAGGCGCAGACAGCAGATGCAATGAACACAGGATTTATTGATACAAAAACAGGAAAAACAAAGCCCACGAGGGGGCAAAACAAGACTGGACTATGTAGACTAACAAGACTGAGACAGATAACTATAGGGACACAAATAACCTTTACAGGCAATAGCGCAACAGGACTAAAACTCTTGACAAGATACTCACAGACTCTGACCAAGGATTAACACTCAGGTAACAATCACAATGAACCGACAAAAGACAGCAGATACAAGAGGATTAAATAGGGAACACTAATGACGAGGACAGGTGAAACTGACTAGACAATAATCACAAGACGAGGATAACAAGGGGGCGGGGTGACGAGACGAGACAACACAAGCACATGGTCCAAATAACAGACCATGCGCTTGTACATAAAACATGGGTCTGCCATGATCCTGCCACAAGACCAGTGAAATCAAAGACAAGATGGCAGAATCATGACAATAGGTGGGGTTACATTAACTAGTAGTTCTATCATAAAGCATGCATGAAATAAATACAAATGCAAGAGACACTATACAAGACATAATAATAATAATCATACACACAATGTCCTGGGATGCATGTTCATTTATAGAACAGTTTGTCTATAAATTAATGCAGAAGTGTCTGCTTGATGTGTCTGTCCTTTCCTATTAGAGCAAGGGGCTGCATTCTTTCAGGTCATAAAACCATGGCAACCAGAGGCCTGACTCTCTTACTTTGGGGGTTTGACGTATACACCTTGGCTCCTTGTTTTGTGGTTGGTGAGTGGTTTAAAAGATTATTTGTTAAATATAACAAATACTTGTTACTGATTTGTGTAAGTCGTTACATATTCTAGGATCGCAATGAGCGTGAAGGACTATAATGCGTTATATGCTCGCTCAAGTACTGAGGAGCTAAACCATTCAGGGCTTTATAAGTAATCAGCAAGATTTTAAAAAATGTTTAATAGGGAGCCAATGCAGTGTTGACAGAACCGGGCTATTATGGTCATACTTCCTGGTTCTAGTAAGAACTTTAGCTGCTGTGTTTTGGACCAGCTGGAATTCAGGGCGACCTTGAGGTCATGAATGCATGAATTAACTTTTCTGCATTTGACATTGAGAGCATATGTTGTCATTTGGATATATTTTTAAGATGTAAGAATGCGGTTTCACAGATACTAGAAATGTAGCTTTCAAATGAAAGATCGGTATCAAAGAGCACACAGGTTCCTAACTGATGACGACAACTTGACAGAGCAGCCATCAAGTGTTAGACAGTATTCTAGGCTATTACATGCAGAGGTTTTTGGTCCAATAATTAAAGCCTCTGTTTTTTCAGAATTAAGTAGTAGGCAATTACTAGTCATCTGATTTTTTTATATCAGCTATGCATTCCGTTAATTTTGTGTATTTGTATGTTTCATCAGGGCGTGAAGAAATATAGAGCTGAGTATCATCAGCGTAACAGTGAAAACTAATGCCATGCTTCGTAATGAAATCTCCCAAGGGTATCTCCCAAAAATTGCAGTTTTCCCTGCTCGCTTCTCGGCGACTGCATGGCGCTCAACATAAGTTTGGTATCGTTGTAAAGTGCAGCATTCCAACTTTGTGTATATTCATAGCAAATTCTCGATGGCATGAGTCTGTACCAATGAAATCGGATTTTCAATCCCATGCTGATGTAAACAAAACCAGCTTGTTGCTAACCAGTCGCAATAAGCTTTGCAATTAGTTATTTATTGTTATTATTGATATTTTGTTGCATAATTTTGCTACATGGATTGCTACATGGGTAGCCCTTAACCAGTGGCACAAACTGACTGCTAAGCTGAAAAATCAGTTAGGTAACTATGTTAAATATTCGTTATATAAATATTTTCAATAAGGTTGAACATATAGATATAGGTTTTGACTTGTGTGTGCCAAATTTGGTGTTATTACCAGGGATTTTAAGGTATGGTTGCTAGGTGATTTTGTTTTAGAACTTCAGAAATTTGTAACTAGATCTTTCTCAAAATTTACTTTGTTGACTTCAAACAGGTGCAGCTCATTAATTCCTTGTCCGATTCCAACAAATCGTACATCATTATGAAGGTTTTTTTAATGGAGTATGTGAAAATAACAAGAACTCATTTTGAAAATTTGCTCATTCTGACTAATTTTGCCAGCACAGGTCACATTCGTCACAAACTAGTTTTAGAGTTGTTAGCTTATGCTTATTCCCTTTTTAATTTTATTTGCTGTTTTGAATTAAAATACTTCCTGTATGTTTATTACATTGAATTGAAATGTTTAAAAAGAAATGAGGAGGAGATGGGGGATGGCATAAATTGTACATATTTTATTTCATTTCATTTCTATTAATGCTGCCTGTGGTGGGATAATAACAGCACTCTCTAAACTTGAAATAAATGTTCACAGTTTAGGGATGAGTAGATTTATAAACCATTTTAATTCATAGTCAGACATAGTGAAAAAATTACACAGACACTGAAAGAATGTGTTACAGCACTCCACGGTCTCCCCCCTTTTTTTTCTTTTTCTTAGATTTATGTTTACTCAAAGTCAGACCCCCTGAACGGCAGCACCTGTGTGTGGGTGTCTTATTGTGTGTTTGTGTAAGTGTGAGTGTGTTTAGACTACTCACAGCCCTCACACTGGTATTCATAGCAGCTCTTCATGAAAACTAAACAAATTTTCTGCTGTATTTTGTACTCAAACATCTCTGCTAGCTGACATCCCTGTTAACTACATGAATTCTCTTTCTCTCCTGTCTCTCTCTCTCTGCCTTTCAGGGGCGTGTAGGCCATGTTTAGTTGATGTCGTTCCAGTAAAGAATGAGGAAGGAGTCGTAATCATGTTCATCCTAAACTTCCAGGAGTTTTTAGACCCATCTATGAAAAAAGGTGGCATTAAACAGCGGATGGCACACAGCTGGCTACAGGCAGGTGCGTGTCCCCCCTTTCTCTGTGTGTACTGAGATTCTGGCCCTTTCTGTAACAGCCTTATAAGGAAAACACACTGCTGACTGCTGTGCTTGGTGTGAGGTTGGTGTGTAGGTGTAGCCCTAGGCATTGTTGCATTTCACTTTTATATTAGACACTATGATATATTTAGTTGACATAAGTTAAATTGATTTAAGTTAAAATAAGTAACATTTTTATCATTATATTTAATTATATTATATGTTGACAAATAAAATCAAAATAATTGTATATTATTATTTTAAATATTTGTATTATTGTTATCATTAATGAAACAAATATTTAAAGTTATAGTTTATAATGTATAATGTTTTTAAACATTATTATTATTATTATTATATTATATTTAGTTATCTAACAAATTTCCTCAGTTCCATGCCTTAGTAATCTAGTATATAAAAATCACAATAAATCTCTTTAATTTCTTAATATCTAGTTTCTCCTAGACAGCAATGTATTTAAATGAGAGAAAATGGGTTCTTCTCCTGCTTCACAGGTTTTAAAAGAGATCTCATTATTATCACACACTGTGCCCGTCAGACGTTACTAAAAGGACATACCAGACTTCAGAACCAGAAAGACTAGAACTCGTTTCTCACCAGTCATGTCCTCTGAGCTTTGAGCAAAAATATCTTCCTCTTTGATTATTTAAACTTGTGTTTCTGTATCAGGTCAGAGACGCAAGATGAGACTTAGAATGCCCTCTCTCCGTGTCAAACGGCAGCCGTCCCTCCCTCAGGACCACTTTGAAGGAGTGGTGGTGGACTACCTACAGGTACATCCGTGCATATACAATACATAAGTTCATATTCTCACAGACATGTGATCTACAGCTCCCCTCCATGTGTCCTGCAGCCCTCTCATGAGGAGGTGGCCCTGAAAGACCTCCAGATGTCTCCAGACAGCTGCTTAAAATCAGAGACCCAGGCCTTGATTCAGCAGACCTCATGTTCCCTCTCATCCCCACTCTCACGGCCCTCAGACTGGCTAGAGCCTGGCGGACCCCCTCTCAAACACAGCCACTCCAGAGAGAGCGTATGCAGCCTGCGTCGGGCATCCTCACTGCATGACATCGAGGGCATGAGGGACCAGTGGAGCGGTATGAGTGTTTGTGTTCGCAATCATCTAGTTCTTAGTACTGTCAGAAACATTACTGTGTGCGAAATTGTATTATTTCTACCTCATCAGACAGTATGAAGGTAGAAAGACATCAAGACAAGAATCCACATAACATCCCGTCTCTGTGTGGTTTTCCGGTTGATTGAACAAATTAAGATAACATCTCAGATCACAGTTATTAATGTTGTGCTTACCAAGTAATAGTCTTTATTATATATTCTCATGGATGTCTCTAAAACTCACTCACTTGTACTAAAAACAACCAAGGAGAACCCAGTTTCATTTGATAAACATTTAGTGCAAACAAAGCCATAATTCACAAAAAATAGAATTGTGAAAAAAAAAATCCATCAAAAGGAACAAAAACAGAATCCAACAGAATTTCTCTTTGTTTGTCCACTAGCAAAAGGATGATGCTATGATAAAAACAAAAAGCACATTTTCTCTAATAGAAATCTATTATAAAGTAAGGGCTTAACATAAAATATAGTTTGATTCTTTTTTTTTTGGCAGAAGATGTTTATTACAAGTAAAGTCTTGGAATGTTTAGGGCATTAATCAACTTTTTTATACAATATTGTCAAAAAGTTTTGTTTACGACTTTTTTTTTTAAAGATTTTTTATTTTATTTAAGAAATAAAAGTCACTGATAGATATGTCATAGATATGTCAGTCAGTCAGTCAGTCAGTCAGTCAGTCAGTCATATTTATTTATAGAGCACATTTAAAAACAACAGCTGTTGGCCAAAGTGCTGTACAAAGTGTAAACAAGTATCCATAAAACATAAAACCACAAATAAACAATGCACAAAACAATGCAATGTTAGATATAAACTTGCAATTAATTTGAAGATATTAACTTAAGAGTAAAACTAAAGTCGTAATTGTGAGACGTAAAGTGAGAAAGACCTTTTTTGTTTCCTCAGTGATGGAAACCAGCTTCCATAATAAACTTTCCGATAGGGTGCAAAATATTTGGTCTTCCAAAGCCACTGTGTCAGTATGTTTACCAACCTGAAACTGTTTCCTATAACAGGCTTTTACAGTGGAGAAAACGGCAAAGTTGTAAACAGTATTGTCTTTATCCTTGGACGGCAGTTTCACTGGCTTTAAATAGTGTTTATGACAAAAGAAGTGTGAGAGAAGTTTGGTACTTTCTGGTTCTTTTTTTTTGTTCTTTCAGACATTGACTTACTGGGCAGTGCTACTTCCTTTTTAAATCATATGTCATATGTCAGACATGAGCGGGGACCCCCAGCCGGGACTGAGTGGAACAGATGCTTGTCAGTCAGCTTATTGCTGCATGCGCCCTTGTTTGATCAGCTCTTTCGTCTCTTAGCTGTGATTAAACTCTTCCATTAGCATTAAACAGGTGAACCATTGACAGAGTACAGGATATGCTTTTGATGGAAATTGAGCATTATATTTGAATGTATTCGTGACTACATAATAAGTCTGATCACAACCAATTAGCTTAAAATAGAAGTAGCTTTTGATAAAAATGAGCTAGAATGGTTTTCTAATGGACTTTATGGAACAACTCCAAAAAGCAGCACAAAGCATAATGAGCATAACAAAGCGGCCCATTCGAATATGTTAAATTGTATCATTTAAGTCTCTGGAAGTCCAGAATAAGACTTGTTGGTTCCCTGCTGAGATGGGCACATGTGGCGGCCTGACAGACCTATTTCTGTAACTGTAGTCCTAATCAATGCTTTTGTGCGACTGTGATTACTGTGATTGTGTGTGTGCGAGCTCTAAAGAGTTTATTCTGTCTCTGTATAGGTGTCCAAATGACTCATAGGTTTATAATAACACATTTTCATTATTGCATACTCAAACAGTGACATAACCTGCAATGCAATTGGCAGATGCATACAGGATGGTGGGCAAGTCACGTGGCATGACATTGTTTTAATCAAAAACCCTGTGATGTTTTTTTTTGTTTTGTTTTTTTATTACTGTGATGAAAACTGATCAGAGGGTGATATTTCTTTCTCAGATCTGAAGCCCACTAACTTAAACTCCACCTCAGACTCAGATTTGATGCGGCACCGGGCCATTGGCCGCATCCCTCAGGTGACGATATCTTTCGGCTCGGACCTCAGACCACCTTCCCCCACAGAGATCGAGATCATAGCACCCAGCAAGATTAAAGACCGCACACAGAACGTCTCAGAAAAGGTCACTCAAGTCACGCAGGTAATATGAAAAAGTACTTGACAGCACAGCAACGTATTTCATACACATTTTCATGCAAATGTACTGTATTGTCGGATTCAGTCATTTGCTCCTTTTGTTTCTGTTTCCTTAGTGAGGCCTATTGATTTTGCCATTTTATTTATTTATACCCTATGATTTATTTATGGTACTGTTGCTATACACATGTTGTAATAAAAAAAAATATATATATATACCTATAGATTATATACCAATAATCAAATTAATTGCAGTTATCCTATGTTATAATATATGAGACATACACCACTGTTCTAATTTTGGCAGTCAGTAAGATTTTAGACTGTTTTTGAAAGTCTCTTATGCTCTTTTGGCTGAATTAATTTGATCAGCAATAGAGTAAAACATGCAGTAATATTGTGAAATTTTATTACAATTTAGAGTAACATTTGTCTACTTGAATATGTTTTAAATGTAGGGGAGCGCGGGGCACAACCTAACGCGGGGTTAAATGTAACACGGACCTTTTACATAGTTAGTCAGGATCAAGCAGGTTGTGTTTACGCCCTTTTTCTCTCGCTGCCAGAAGACGGTCTCCCGCGAATTTGTGAAAATTACTCCCGCGAAAAGTTTTGATAATATTTCGTGAAGATACTGGACAAAGAGTGTTTTGACGCCATGCAAGTAAATTTTTTCATCATAGGTTTTTTTCGGTTTCTGAGTTGGGTGTGTATGTTTTCAAATCTAACTTTATATTGCCTTAATCACTGTCTTGTTTGCTAAAACATAGCACCGTTTTGAAACATGTCAGCAACTCCTAGCAACTGTTAGCTAGGCTTAAAATATGCTTTACACAGCGGGGTTAGTTGTAGCACAGTGTTACAACTAAGCCGCCAAGTGTACAATGATAATCAAATGAAAACAGGGAGCCACACAACTTTTCAGGTCAAAACTGTGCTGCCCTTTTCTATTTCTCTATCCATGATATTGATCCATAATAGAAGGATGATTGGATGAGGGATGGATGTATGGATATCTATCTATACAGATGCACAAACAATATCAAACTATACAAATAAAATAGTACTGAATTATGTGTGTTACACACAAGTGTTACAACTAACCCCTCTCTCTGTCTGTTACAATTAACCCCGCATATGGGGTAAATTGTAACATTTGCACTTCTGTCACTTTTAGTGCAACAGTACGAAAATGGTAGGTCCTAGAAAAAAACTTTTAAGTGTTCATTTGTAGCAGAGATGTGTATGTTGCTTGTGTAAAAAAAAGTTGAATCTAACTTAATAATTTTTTTAATAATTGAGCCAAAACCAAAATGCGTTAGGTTGTGCCCCGCTCTCCCCTACTCCTGTTTTAGCAAAGCTGAATTTTCAGCATCATTACACCAGTCTTCAGTGTCACATGATCCTTATTCACAAATCATTCTAATATGTTGATTTGCTGCTCTAGAAGCATTACTTGAAATATTGAATACAGTTGTTCTTAATATTTTTGTATAAACCTGATCCTTTTTTTCAGGATTCTTTGATAAATAGAATGTAAAAAAGAACAGAATTTGTTTGAAATAGGAATATTTTGTAACAATGTAAAATTCTTTACAATCTCTTTTGGTAAATGTAATGCATCCCTGAGGAATAAAATAATACATACATGCATAAAAAAATAAATAATAATAATTAACTGAACCCAAACATTTGAATGATAGTTAATGAGTAAAAATGTGTATACATAAATGTATTAAATATAAGCATCTAGATCTCTCAATCTATTTTGCAATCAGAATTATACTAGAGTTCATTGAATTAAACTTCAAATAATTTAATGTAACAGCAATGTAACATGTTAGTGACTAAATTGAATGAAGTCATTTTATACTAGAAAAGGAAAGTCTGTCAAGACAAACCGATGAAAGCTTGACAAAACCTTATCTGAAGGTTAAAACAGTCTTCACATTTGATGGTTTTATGGGCCTTACAGATTTATTAATTTAGTACATTACATTAACTTTGTCATTCCATTTAAAGTTCCATTAAAATTCCATTTAAAAAGATGGAACACCAAAACTGCAAAAGTTGCACTAGTTGACATCGCAAAAGCTTTCACTCATCCTCATCAGCCAATGAAAAGTTTGATGACATCATCTACATGATTTACTATTTTGTAACATCTCCACACAAGCAGTTAGTGACCTATTTACAGGGGACCACTGAGTCCTGTGCTGATGTGGGAAGTGCTTATTGGGCTGTTGTGTAGGGAACGGACACACATTGACACACTTTTCCTACCCCCGTGTATATGTGTGATTATTGCTGTGTACTGGGTTTACTGGAATGCATGCTCGTGTGTTCAAGTTACTGTACATTATGTTTCACATAATGACTGCAAAGATTGTGCGGGCTCCTCGTGCCATGGTTTATATAAAAACTTGAAAGATTGTCTTCAAAGCTTAGAGATAAAGAGTGTGAAGTACTAAAAAGAGGGGTGCAGTACAGCAGAGAATGTAGAAGAATCAAAGAAAGACAGTGAAAATGACAGAGAGAAAGAGATTGTATTGGTGACGTCTCTCTCCATGGACACACGTGGGAGACCAGCGTCCTACCAGTGGAAAAATCAATCATGGTGACAAATCTACTGCCAGCTTGCACATTCCAATCATAAAGCCTGTGCGTGTGTGTGTCTGTATTAGTTTTTAAAGCAGCATATGACACATTCCAACAGGTGAACTGAACGTTGTTCTCCATTCTTCCTAACTATCTATTTTCCTTCTTTAATAATAGTTATTATTATGTTTCATTAAGCCTCCTCATAACTATCTTGATATATTTGAGTAAGTTCACAGACTATTATTTAAAGGGATGGTTCTATAAAAATGGACAATTCTGCCTTCATTTACTCACCCTCATGTCATTCCAAACTACTTTTTTCTTCAGTGGAACATATTTTGAAGAATGTTCTTGACCGAACAGTTTTTGTGACTATTGGCTTCCATTGTATGGGCAAAGAAAAAAAACAACAGATATTTGAAAATATTAAGAGCATTTTAATTTGCGTGAGCATGACCCGTGTGTGGATGGCTGTGTATGTGTGTGTGTGTGTGTGTGTGCGCATGTGGTTGCTTTCTGCGACCTTGGCTTGTAGGGCTAATGGAAGTAGAGGGCAGTGACAGCAGGGGCCAAAGATACACTGACTGTCTGTTTCTCTACTCGCACACACATCTGTCAAAAGTGTGCATGCTAACACACTCTCTTTCTCTGGCCCTCCTACCTACCATTCTCTCTTTCTATCTCTTTCTGTTCACTCTTTTTCTCTTTTCTTCTAATATTCACACTTTCATTGTTTGTATGTTTAGCTCATTTCTATCCCCTACCCCTAAACCTAACCCTGACATGAACCCTTTTTGAATTTTGGCCTTCTTTTAATTCATTATTTAGCATGTTCACTAAGACACTCTGAAGATGCCAATGTAAATAACTAGTGTGAAGCTTTTCTATGACCCATTAAGCATTAGCTTGATATTATGGTATTAAGGCATATGTGCAGTCTGTGTTTGCATTACGTCCTGAGGTAGAACAGGCAATTCCTGGCTTGATAATTGGACTTCGATTTGACACTGAGCAAGAAGGGAAATGATCATCTGCATTGATCTTTGTTGCTATTGATTTGTCTATATAACATGACGTACCTAGTTATGTGACCAGCTGTACTGTTTTTAGTAGACTGGTCCGCATGTGAGGAGCATTAACCTTTGAATGAAATATGATCATGAATTTTTTAGGTACGTGGGGTCCTACAATCACAGAAAAAACCTAGAAATATTAGAGAGGTCATGCAAGTTCTGTAGTCAGTTGGTGCCATTTGGCAGATCTGACATATGGCACAGATGCGCTTTGGGCGACCCAAGTCCTGGCTTAACCCTTAAACAGGCAAGAGTGGAAAATGCTAAGCAAAAAATAATTTCAGTTCATTTTTATATCATCTGGACTTAAATAAAACATATCCAAAAAAAATTGATTTTGGATTTTATGAGTTGTGTCTCCTGAGATACGTTGCCTGATTAGGGTATAAAGAAAGGACCAAGTCATTAATCTGTTAACTGTTACTGCCACTGTATGTTTAAAACAATTATATCCCATGCTTCACCTGATCTAATGTTGACTAATTATGTATCATTCGAAAGCTTACGAACTCAAGATTCAGCCTGTGAAACCCGTTTTGAAATTGGACGTTGTGTTACCATAGAAACGGTACTCTAAATTCTTTTAATGGGCTCCTCCCCTTTTGGGCATCGTCATGTTTAATAATGTATGATCAAAACCTATTCTAATCTTGACAAAACTCATATTGTCAGAAAGGTCTGAGTCTCAAGGTTCCATATTTTGTGACAGAAGTGATATTTCGACAGAATTTTATTAATTTGTTATGGCAGAATGCATACAATTAAATTCAATGGAATGTAAGTCACCTGGTGGCTAATTTGAAGTTTATCAACTTCAAATTTGGAACACAACTTGGTTAGAAATATTTTTTTTGTTTTTATAGTAATTTTATAGTAAAAAATATTTTGTAAAATACATATTTTATAAAAAAGAATAAATATTAAGTACAGTATATTTGATTTAATGTAAGATTTAAACTTCCTTAACTTTTTCATACTTTCATTTTTTAAAGTGCTTTCACTTCAGCAATAATCTGCTGACTGTTTTCTTTAAAAACCTATAGTCCTATAGTAACCTATTATATTCCAAAGCATTCTTGAATTACAATCATTTAAGTTTGAATAGTGCATTTTAAATAGAACTAGTTTAATCCCTTTTGTATACCCTAAACAGGCAACGTGTCTCAGGAGACACATAAATTTCAAAACGTGCTAAATAACAATATGAACAACATATTACTTCATTTTATCCTTCAGCACCTTAAGACAATGTTCACAATTAATGTTAGCAGTATTCTTTTTTCTTTTTCTTTTTCAGAAGAAAAGTTTAATATATATTTACTTATCTCAA